TAAAAAAAAAAAAAAAAAAAAACGCTAAAATAAATAATTAAACTAATTCTAAAAAGCAAATCGTGAAAAAAGAATGACCTTGTCTTTGATTGAGTTCCATAATTGTGCAAGACTAGGCTTGGCATCTGAATTTACTTCTAAACGGAACTCAACTCAACCATTTGGGGAAAAAACTTTCCCTCGCACATCCAAATTTCTACAAGTATTCTAGTTCATGATGAAAAGTATTAAGGGACTTGTATAAAAGCGCTTTGAAACCACCATTACTAGCGGACGCAGCCTTTACTTAGCAGTTCTTGAAGTACGATAATATACCACACTACTCAAAAATGCACCAGTTTGCAACACCTCATCGACATGACCTTGTTTGCAGCTTTGCGATATACCGGCTTGTACAACGCAGAATCATATCGGGCACCTCGCACCCGTTGATCAAGGTTTACATTTCAGAATTCCACTAATACTAAAAGGGGAAATAAGCATGAAGGTAAAACATTGAAATTAAACTTCCATAGACTGGAAAAATTTCACTAAGGCCGTGTCACTAACATTATCTTGTAGACGAACACCCTACCAAAACGCCGATTGGGTGATATGATCCGAGAATTTTGTTTGTGTCATCAGCCCGACTGCTTAGGCCTTACTATATACCATGCACAAGGTCATCAAGAATGCTCTAGCTATCTTTGCTGTCGTAGTAAAAATCTTATTACATGTGTATCCTTTGGCCTCGCCTCCCACCATTGATAAATTCGCCGCAAACGGCAGTCCCGCCGCACGCGCCGCCCCATAATCACACACGTGACGGTTCTCACTTTACGCGCGTGCTGAAAAACTCCCGCTCTGTACAGGTCAGAGAATTTTTTTTTCAGTGCATGATGAGGAAATTTTCACTGCCAAAGATCGGTTGCGCATACATCAAGAGTGATCTTTTTTGCATCCTCTCTTTTTGCCTTCTACAGCATAACCATCCCCAATATGTCCGACGAATATGTTATCAAGCCAGAGAACGTTGCTCCAACCAGCAACACCTCCGAATGGCCATTGTTGTTGAAGAACTACGACAAGTTGTTGGTCAGAAGCGGCCACTACACCCCAATCCCATCCGGGTGCTCTCCATTAAAGAGAGACTTGAAGTCTTACATCTCTTCCGGTGTCATCAACTTGGACAAGCCATCCAACCCATCTTCTCACGAGGTTGTCGCTTGGGTCAAGAGAATCTTGAGATCCGAGAAGACCGGTCACTCTGGTACCTTGGATCCTAAGGTCACTGGGTGCCTTATCGTGTGTATTGACAGAGCCACCAGATTGGTCAAGTCCCAGCAGGGTGCCGGTAAGGAGTATGTCTGTATCGCCAGATTGCACGAATCGTTGAAGGACGAAAAGGACATGGCCAGAGGATTGGAAAACTTGACCGGTGCCTTGTTCCAGAGACCACCTTTAATCTCTGCCGTCAAGAGACAATTGAGAGTCAGAACTATCTACGACTCCAACTTGATCGAGTTTGACAACAAGAGAGGCTTGGGTGTCTTCTGGGCCTCTTGTGAGGCCGGTACCTACATGCGTACTTTGTGTGTCCACTTGGGTATGTTGTTGGGTGTCGGTGGTCACATGCAGGAGTTGCGCCGTGTTAGATCCGGTGCCATGTGCGAGAACGATAACTTGGTCACTTTGCACGACGTCATGGACGCCCAGTGGGTCTACGACAACACCAGAGACGAGTCCTACTTGAGAAGAGTCATCCAGCCATTGGAGACCTTGTTGGTTGGCTACAAGAGAGTTGTCGTGAAGGATTCCGCCGTCAACTCCGTCTGTTACGGTGCCAAGTTGATGATTCCAGGTTTGTTGCGCTACGAAGAAGGCATCGAGTTGTACGACGAAGTTGTCTTGATGACCACCAAGGGTGAGGCCATCGCCATTGCCATTGCCCAGATGACCACCGTTGACTTGGCCACCTGTGACCACGGCACCGTGGCCAAGGTCAAGAGATGCATCATGGAGAGAGACACCTACCCAAGAAGATGGGGGATGGGTCCAGTTGCCCAAAAGAAGAAGCAAATGAAGGCTGACGGGAAGTTGGACCAGTACGGTAGAGCCAACGAAAACACCCCAGAAAACTGGAAGAAGGAGTACGTCTGCCACGAAGCTGACGTCCCACCGCAGGTTCCAGCCGACAAGCTCGCCGCTCCGGTTGTCGCTGCTTCCAAGGGCTCTTTGTCCGACAAGTCTGAGAAGACCGAGTCCAAGGATGACGAGAAGAAGGAAAAGAAGGAGAAGAAGGAGAAGAAGGAGAAGAAGGAGAAGAAGGAGAAGAAGAGAAAGACCGACGACGACGAAGACAAGGAAGAGAAGAAGTCCAAGAAGTCCAAGAAGTAAAGCCCGCCCGTCTAACTGTACCATAATGGATTCCCTGGCATTTTTTTTCTCTCTCTTAGCATTCCCCGGTTCGCCCTTTCTGTTATGTATATCTTTGTTTATTTTTGTTGTACTTTTATTATTAACCATTACGTTATATCTGTTGACCAATTGTAGAAACACGGCTGTTGAAGTCGCACGCCCAAATTCACTATACACATGCAGACGGACAAGACTCAACCCTTGATAAAACACTAACGCAGGTTTACTGGACAGATACCAGTTTTATTCTATATTATAGAGGGTGATAAACGTTTAGAGTGAGACAATATTGGCAGATTTGGTCTATCAAGCAGCTTGGCCCCACTTTGCTTTACAACCGCCACGGTTATAACCCCGCCAACTCCAACTCCTCATCCCCATCCAAATCCATCAAATCCTCCTCATCCAACTCGCCCATGTCAAACTCCATTTGTTCCTGCTGGAATCGCCGCAACTGCTCCAAATTCCACACCGAAACCCCTTCCTGGTCCTTTGGGTCTGCGGGTTGCGCCATTGTCTTCAAAAACTTCTTTGTATTGGCGACCGCCATATCGGTACTCAAATTCGTATCTGCATCCATCAACGCCTGGGCGATCCACTTCGGCAACTGCCCCTTCTTACGCGAAAACCGCCGGTCGGCCAACACCATAACCCCGTAGTCGTCTTTGCCTCTGATGACACGCCCTAAACACTGGGCTGCGTGTCGCATGGCGTCGAAACTCAAAAAGTCGTTTTCCCGGATCTGGTATTGGTCACGGAGAAACTCCAAACGCGCCTTAAGGATACGCGACTCAGTGTACTGGAACGGAATGCCAATCATCAACACGGTGCGCCCGTACTGGTGGTCAAAATCGATCCCCTCGGACACTTTCCCACGCGCAACCGACAACAACACCGCGCCACGGCCGTTGGAGCAGGCCGTGCGGTATGTCTCCAACGCGAGCGCGGTCTCCTGGGCGTCGGGTGTCTCGACCAAGAGCAACTTGTACTTCCAGACCTCGTCCAAGATGCCCATCGTCTGCCACTGCGAGATAATGCTCTCCATGTAGAGGTACGACGGAAAGAAAACCACGAGACCGTCGGGCGTGACCTTGGCAAATTCCACGAGCAACGACCCGTAGTTACGTACGACCGACGGATCGTTGCGGATTTCGAACCGCGACGAGATTGCAACCTGGTCGGGACCTTTGGTGACGATCATCGGGAGAAACGAACGCCGCGCCAACGTCATCGTGTACGACTCCTGGACAACGGTCTCGAAGTTGAGCATCCGCGGGTACATGTCGAGCGGCGAGATGGTCCCGGAGGTGATGATAATGGACGAGAAGCGGTCGAACACGGGTTTCATCGCGATAGATGCGTCGAGACACGTAAAGTGGAGGATCGGATTCGGCACCGTGGAGCCCTCGGTCTCAAACGGCTCAAGAATCAACTGGAAACCCGACTCATACGTCGCGACAAGGGTTGCAAACGTGGCAATGTCCTTCAACGCCGTAAAGTCGTCAATCTCGTTGAGCTCGAGTGTCTTGACTAGCAACGCGAGGCGCTCCGAGCAGAAGCGCAACGGTTTGCGCTCGATGAAGGTTAGCTGCTTCAAGTGCTGAAGGAAGCTCGCAGGCGTCTCGGAGATCACGTGGAGGACCTTCATGCGCGTCTTGAGATACTCGATGAAGCGCTTCAAGAACGAGATGAAGTGCTCTGCCCGGCGGATGTTCCCAGGAACCGCCTCGTCGAGAAGGTCCGCCGGTAGAACGGGGTTCGCCATGAAAAGCTCCTCGTCGCGTGCAATCTCCGCCTCGCGGAGTCCCGCCACCAACTTCTCGTATTCGTTCTGAAGCTTATTGCTGTCTGTGAGCCGAAGCTCCTCCACCTTGTTTTTCAAACTGTTTGCCCCGCGCGTGGCCTTCCTCAAGGTCTCTTCCGTCAAATCCAAGGATAGAGATTCAATGCAGACGTTATCAATGTTGTGGGCTTCGTCAAAAATCACAATGCTGTCCTTCGAAAGCTCCCGCGAGACACGCTCGGCAATCTTGGGATCTAAGAGGTAGTGGTACGAGTAGATGATGATGTTGCAGTACCCCATCATTCGTCTGACGGTGAAGTACGGACACGTACCCTCGGCCTTGCAGTATTTAATCAAGCTGTCAAAGGAATAAACTCCTGGTGGCACGAGGTTGTGGGGGTCGCGGTCGTTGAGGTTTTCGTGAAAGGAGCACAACTGGGACTGGATCTCCTCGATGTCCATCTCGCCCAGCGCTGCCTTCTCCTTCAACTGCCCGTTGGTGATCCGCCGGCACTTTTCGTCCACAAGGTCGCCCCGTTTCTCCTTCGAGATCGTCGGGTGGAGACACAAGTTCTTGCGCGACGTGAGACCCATACCGCGGAATTCCTCCACGTATCCGAGCTCCGTCGAGCGGAACGCCATGAGCGCGTGCAACTCCACCAATGCCTTCTCAATCTCTGACATTGTCCGTGAACAGTAGATGATTTTGCGGTGCTCGGGGTAGTGCATCTGGTACGCCACCGTAAGTGAAAGAAGCGACACGGTCTTGCCTGTTCCCGACGGCATTTCAAGAATGCAATTGCCCCCCACGTCGAGCGTCTTCTTGATATCACACATGTATGCATACTGTTCCGGGTAGATCCGGGGGTATGGAAAGAGCACCGGGAGGTCGTCGATGAAGAACTTCATGGGAATGGGACGGTGAATAAGTGAGGAGGAGACACAGATCAGTGCTCTTTTTTTTTGCAGCTATCGTTTTTCTGTCATGTGCAGAGTGAAGGGGAGTTCGCGGAGGGAAGAGAGTTTCGCGGATGGGTGGGTATTTCGCAGAGTGGTTACGCAAAAGGGGTGGGAATAGCCTCTACTTTTGATTCCATTTTTGATTTTTATGCCATTGACAATATTTTTTTTGTGATTTTATGAAAAAAAAGGGGGAGATTTAAGGCCAGACTGAGGGGTACAAGCAAGCCGGTGGAGGACTTGGTATTTCGCGAAATTTATGTGAGTATGGAACGAGATGATGAGGTCGGCGATAGATAAGACTTGAGAGCCAAATTGGCAAAACCTCCAAGAGTTTGGCATTTACATATCCAAACCTTTATTACAGCTATAAACCCCTGTAAATCAAACTTTTATTTCTCAACTATGCATATTGAGAGGAAATCAACTTTGCCAATTTAGGAAAGATAATGTCTGACGTGTCACCACTGACTTTCGTGAGCACGCCCTGTTTGTCGTAGAACTCCTTCAATGGAAGTAATTGCTCGTTATATGCAACTAACCGCTTCTTAAACACCTCCGCGTTATCGTCGTCCCGCTTCGACAACGGCTCACCGGTGAGATCATCCGTGAACGGCTGCCTTGGCGGGTTGTATTGCAAGTTGTATATTCTGCCACTCGGCAAGTGGATCCAGCGGTTCTCGATTCTCTCCAAGATCACATCCTCGTTGACATCCAACTCCACTACGAGGTTGAGCGCGCACGCGTTTGCGGCAAGCTGTGTGTCAAGTCCATGGGCCTGGGCCGCAGTTCGCGGAAACCCATCGAGCAACCACGATGCGTTAGGGCTCAACCAACCACGGCTGTCGAGCTCGCCCGCAAGCAAGTTGATCATTGTCATGTCCGGCACTAAAGTTCCATTCGTGATGTAGGATGAGGCCTCGCGGCCAATGGGCGTCTGCGCCGCGATCTGCGTCCGCAACAAGTCTCCGGAGGACAACGGGTTGATGTGACTAAACTTGTCCAACAACTTGGATGTCTGGGTGCCCTTCCCGGAGCCGGGTGCGCCCAAGAGAAGCAAGCGCAACGGGCGGGATAACGTGGTCATGGAAGGATGTGAGAGAAGGAAAGAAGGGCGTTTGGAAGAGCGGAGGGCAAAATTTCAAAGGCTCCAGGCGCCGAGTTTTTCGCGGGGGAAGCGCGGGGGGTATAAACCTCGTCTAAGGGACGGTGCCCATCCACTGGGAATATATGTAGAGGGTATACCGGAATAGATACCGCTGCTAGAAGTCAAGGATTCAAATGAGAGAGAGTTTGCGTGGAGTGGTACCATTTAGATGCCAACCTAACACCTTTCTCGCCAGTGGACGGTTATTCGTAGTTACCTCTACATGTGAGTGTAAACCTGTCTAGTTCAAAATGATTCTAGCCGTATGGATGGTGCTTCCAGGACAAGCACAGCAAATCCTAAACTCCGCAAAATGTCTACGAAGAGCCTTATAGCCCTCTCTAGAAACAGGTCACTCCAATACACAGAGAATTCTCCCATGGAGCTTATACATCGCTGGTCCAACGGGTAACAAACTTGACTGGCGTTTTAGCAGCGAAGTCCGCAGTGTCCATAAAAAAATATAGATCAACGACCTATTTTTACCCGACTAAATTCCTTAAACGGTATCCGTCGGAAAATGTACCAAGGTACGGTTGGGACGATCAATCAGGTACCACAGTAGATCCTTTACGCTCTGTTAATTCCATAGCCTGTAATTCAGCATCTCCCTGACCTTTGTTGGATCTAAGGATTATCCCTCTCTATAGTTCTTATTTCATGAAAGCTGCTCGCGTAATTCGTACCTTTCCCATTGGCAGATTCTTTGGTACGCGGAAGGTGCCCTGCAATGGCACCTTGTACCGCGGAGACGCTCCATCCAGCCAGCTCTGGAACGACGGCACCTCGGTACCTTTATAGCCCTTGACAAACACCTTATACGCACCCACTCTTTTGTGCAAGCCCGCAACCATCTGCAAGCACCGGAAGTAACGTGGCGGGTCGCGGGCGCGCTCAAGCGGAGGCAACATCCAGAGCAAGCGCTCCAAGCGTGACGCAGCCGTCTGCTTGGATAGCGGAAATGGTTCATATGGAAGTTTGTGGGTCACAACCAGCGCAAAATCAGCCAAGACCAACGTCCATTTTTCTCCACGTTTCAACGGGGAAACTTCCTGAATGAGCTTGTGCTTGATGATAAGAGAGAGAAAGAGCTCGGTGGTGACGTCGTTCCACTTTGTGCGATGATTGCTGTCCGTCGTGGTGAGCTTGCTGAGACTCTTTTTGTGCGTGGCTGTAAAGTTGTTTCGTTTGTTGATGATTAAGCCCATGGATGGTGTGTATACCAAGAGAGGTGGGCTGGGGGTTAAGCTTGATGTAAGAGCCACAAAATTTCCAACACTCACGAAGTATAACGACGAGCGAAACGCGCAAGGGTCCGCACCACGTGATACGACCCAAACTACGGTCTTTTATTTTCTCAAAGATCCAGGCACACCTTCGGTGTGTAGTTCTGGTATGGAACACTAAGAGTAACTTTGGCATGCTCTGTAACCGAGCGAAGAACGGTTAATCCTCTGGCTGG